CCCAGCGTCATATGATCTAACTGAAGCTCTGCCAGCAGAGGAAAATATTCTACAGGTAGAGGCTATAGTAGCAAAACGTTGCTTTTACAGAGAAACAGTACAGGGAGCCGAAAAGAGTGGTACACCATCAAGTCCTTCAGGCGGGCGCAAACGACTGGCCATCAAGGATGAGCTAATGAAGATGCTCGACGAGGCTAACTGCCTTTACTGGGCAACAAGCCTGTTGGCTTTAGTTTATAACTTCGTCGACGACAAGCTTATTCGAAGGCCCCTTGACTGTCCTCCCCCGGCAATCCCCCGACTTCGAGTCGTCCACGCCGCTTTGGCCATCCCCCAAGACAGCAGAGAGTTGCGTAATGCCGTTTATCTTCTCGAGGAGAAGATAAACGGTAACTTCGTGAAGTATATCAATAACAATAGTGCAGCTCCTCGGCACAAACTTGCTCCGCCTGAACTGGAGATTGCAACCTTCCTATGCTTCGCACAACACACTCAATATCATTTCTCGCAAGGCCTTGTGTTCATCTCAGATTTTCAAGGTAAGTTAATATAAGCTAGTCTCTTTTGCTTTCCTTTTCGTACTTACATTTGACTTGTCAGGGTCCGGTGGAATATTGACTGACTGCCAGGTTATCACTACCAAGTAAGGCTCTATTACCTCCATGTGGTTGGTTCTCATCCTTTCCCAGAGACTTTGCCGATAATTTTGGCGAAGGAAACTGGACGGCGACGTTAGACAACTTCCCCTTGTTGCACAAATGCAACCAGTATTGTGTATATTTCGGACTCCCTTCCTTGCAGACAGCAGTATGTTTTCTTTTTCTGATGGATCCTTTCTACTACATCTCATGTCACCTCTTTTTTCACAGAGTTCGGCTACAAAGATGAGAACATCACAAGAGATTGACATCATGTCCAGTCGTGTTCGTGGCTGAGAGGGATTTTTTTTTACATGACATGTACTTACTGTATCGCTTGAAATCCTATGTTGACATGTTGAATTGCACGCTCGCTCGATCTCTCATCACACTGGCTTTTGCCCAAATCACACTCGCTGGATCAAAGAAATTAATTAAAATGTATTTTCGTTGATCGCCCATCAAAGGCCTTGCTCGAATTTTGCTAAATACAAATATAATAGCTGAAGGTACATCGGATTTTGAAAAATATTATGCCGGACATTGGCCGGGCTCGAAAGTTGAGCCGTAACCAATCATCCACCGTATGAGCGGTATTGGGAAGGAGGCGGCCCACTAAGGAATGCCCAAACAAGGCTGTCTCTCTCACTGGCTTGAGTTGGCCAAAATCCCCTGTGAAGATTACATTGATGCCTCCAAACGGTTTTGCAGCATGAGCAGGATCATAGGCCTTTGCAGAGCAGAGCCTGTGAGAGATGTCGCTGAGGAGAGACGCAGATACCATAGAGATTTTGTCGATGACAAGGTAATTAACATCCATTCACACATTTTCCAGTTCGCTTTGATTAGGCTTGTGCTAAGATTTTGGTAGGGATGTCAATGAGTGTATGGTGTAACCACTGATGAGGACAGCAGTGCAACCTGTGGGGGCACTCAATAACAATTCATTGCTGCAATTACACCTGTTATAAAATTCGACAATTGTGTTAATGACATGGCTTTTACCAGATCCTCCAGTGCCAGCAACATAGAGCATCAACTGTTTGTGACAGTTATTCACGTAATGTTCACCTATCAACTTCACAGTGCGTTCTTGTTCGTCATTTCCAGAAATCCCCAAGAACATTCTCTGGAGTGTGAATGGGCAGTTGGGGGGAAGATTGGGTGTCAGAAGAAGTAAGCTGGCACACAGTGGTATTTCCGTCAAGATCAGTTCTTGCGCACTTGCGTATGTGCCCTTTGTGTTGGTTGTCTTCTGAATGTGAAGGGTGGACTCTTTTCTTCTTTCTCATTTGTTTCATGAGAATACTTTCTAGGCGTATGTTTGTCATGTCGTTGTTGGTGACTATTGACGGTGTACGGAAAACAGTATTCCCTTTGTTTTCTTGCAGATTGTTGAACATTCCCGCATGGTCTAAACAATTCATGACTTCAGATAAAAGGTAAGAAATTTGAATGGAACGTGCTTGTGCTACAAGCATCAAGTCGAACAAGGAAGCGCTGTCTGCGCAATCCAGTATGGCAGGCAGTAAAGAATCATGTCCGTGATATTGAAAATTTGCCCATGAGTCTAGCGGCTGCTTCCCGCAATCTGTTACGATCTCTATTGGACATTTAAGGACTACTCATTTCTTTTTACTCATCGGTTATACCATCGGACCGATGACTCATTTCCTTCACGTACACTTCCGTTCCTCTCGCATTCACAGTACCTATTACAGTACTTAGTCTTCAACAGACGGACCAGCCCTAGATAGGACCTAACTCCTATCACCGATTCCTTTCCATTATAAATACCATGTAATAGCAGTAGTATTCTCCAATACGATTCTACGCAGTTTACACTTACAAAGCTAGACTCTTAAGATCAGACTTCTATTCAGAAGAAGACCAACTCCCGTTGGAAAACCTCCACTCAGAACTACGTTCTCGAACTTGTCTTTGGATAAGTCTCTTTACAAACCCCGACGAACCCTCAGACTTTGTTAAGCACTTTGTGCGTAACACAATCAACAAGAGAGTGATGACAAGACGAACACATATACACTGCACCTAGAGTTTTAGTACTCTCTAAACCTATGGTACAAAAGTCCTCCTTCATACTGCCCGAGATTGTAAGATGTCGGTAACGTGTGCAGGGGCAATAATTTGTTCCGTAACAACTTTAAGTCAAAGGTGGCAGGGTCAATAGGTTGTACTTCATCGAACAATTTCTTCTGACCACAAACTGCACATGGCCTGCATGTTGAAAGTAGCAATTTTTGAGCAGTGTCCCACTCCTTGATTATATCCATCTTCTGCTGATCTGTGGCAAGATGAGGTAAGGAAGACGGTGGGAGTGCACTTGAAGGTAAAGAGGCTCTTGCTCGGCTACACCTGGAGTTGGAGGCATGATGCTGTGCCGCACGGGCATGTGAATTCTGATAGTCATCAACAATGGTAGTATTGCGTTTGCAATCCACAGCATGGCGATCTGATTTCAACTCTTGAAAAATAAACTTATTGTTATCAGCACAACAAGGGCCACAATCATGGGCGAGAAGATGCCTGAAAAGTGCAACCTTCACGGGATTTTTTGCCACTGGAATACCATGTGCACTTGTGATTTGACCAAGATGAGAGGCTGTAAGATTCCTATCCCCTATGCCGAGTTAATGGAGGGACAAGTCTCAAAGATCAACAAGTAGCGTCAAGTAATCGATTAAGAAGTAATCAACAACTGAAGAAAGTATGTACATGAGTGCTGGTATATATATGTTTCTGAAGGTCAGCCATGAGGCGCTGACTGATGTTCTACGTCATAGTTCTAGGCTTTGTCACGTGGTTGTCACGTGATCGGATATAACTAACTACTACTGGTCTTGTGTTCTTGTCACGTGATCAGATATGAAAGAAAAATGAAAGAAAATGAAAAAGAAACTAGCACTCTGGCTCAAATCGTGACAGAGGCTGTCAAATGTTGAAAATGCAAAATGACTTGAGAAACAGTGTTGAAGCGAACAACAACATTGCAACCTTGTGGCCAGAGTTCATACGGCTGACAATGTTCATTGCTATATACAGAACAAAATCGATAAGTCCTAATAAAAGTGGCAGCTAACTTTCCATTGTCAGAGGGAACATCTGACTCAACAACCGGCAGATCATGGTCTGTGAATATCCAGAACATCCAAAACAGAACATCATCCACACAGAGGGTAAGAAGTGAGCTCAGAATTGAAGGAGAGGGCTGAAATTGCTCACATTGATGGACTTGTTGGGGCCCAGTATGAGATGAAGTAGCCACTGCATGAGAAGCACTATCAGGAAGTGTTCAAGAAGTAGATGCATGTGGATAAGAAGTTGTTGATAGAGGAGAGTGTTCAAAAGAGGAAGTACCACCAGAGTCAGTGCACAACAAAGAAGGTGTCTAAGCCATTGAGCAATGGAGTGGGAAGAAAGCAAGAAAGAAAGTGAGCCGCAAAAGACGTGGCGTGCAAAACACATAGTCAACGGATGTTGGCGCAAACAACCGGTGCCATTTGCAGTGTCAAATTATGAATGTGAGACCTGGTAACCTACGGTACCAGGAATATCCCTCCTGGGCAGCAACAATATCATTTGTTAGCTCTACAAAACGTTCACGGCGACATTTGTTTTGTGCATCAGTGAGCTTTGGTTTACGCCTTTGTATACGAGGTGCTATAGTGGGAGCCATACAAACAGAAGATATATTTGCTAACCATTCAATTTATAGTGTACATCATGTATATCAGTAATGTGTTTACATGATCCATTTTCCTGAAACATCAGCCATCCCTGAAGAAAGAAAGAAAAAGGCCTAGACTTACAATATACCTGATGTGCTTCTAGAGTGTTTAAAGTGTTTAAAACCTGAGCAATGCAATCGTGGGGAATACCGCAGTCTTGAATGATAAACTTCCAGTTTTTAGGGTGGTATCCAGGCTCTTGGTGCATGCAGTGTGCTAACTCACTCCAAATGTTGTCATGAATGATCACCTCCCTTAATACCTCTTTCAGAGAGCTCCTGAGCTTCATGTCAAGAATGCTGTTATGTCGGGGCCAGGCTGCAGCGAAACTATCAGAGAGCACAAAAGTGTTTGTGATTGATATGGTGTGGCTGGTGGAGGAAGGCATAGGGGAGCAGATTTGGTGTGGATACAAGCAATGATGAACTGGAGAGACGGGTGGAGTAGTGGTGGGGATATCACTTGGATTTGAAGCAACATTGATGGTTTGTACAATAGTGGGGCTTGCATAAGAATCACCATATCCATGAGATAGTACAGCAGTACATAAGCCACTAGTTTGCTCCATAAATTTACCAATTTTGTTTTCATGGATGACCCTAGAAGATCACAAAGAAGATTTGGCCTCGTGCTTTGGCTGATCAGTGTCCGGTTTCCCGTTGTCCTTGGTAATGTGCTTATTCAACATGGACATATTGTCAGGTGGAGTAGACGTAATCAAGCCCTTTCTTCTATACTGGCTAGCGGGAGCAAGTACTGGGGCATCCTTGGCACTGGAATTTTGGTATCTGGGCATTGGAGGCGTAGCTGCCTTGCCCTTGCTGATGTCAGTTGATATACCCCCAGACTTTTGAGCCCTCTCCAACAAGTGATTGGTCAGTGCAAAGTGAGTGTTCATGTAACAAAGGAACTCAAAACGTGATTGCTGTGATTTGGCCAAGGCTTTGTTGGAGGATTTCCTCACAGTAACAAACAACATTTGAGGATGGTCTTGATAGCTGGGCACATTACTGGATAGTGTGTGTAGTGACAAATAAGAGTCGGTGTCAGAGTTATGCAGCTGCTTGGAGCTGGAGGACGAATGAGGCAACAATAGGGTGGTGGTGGATGTTACAATAACACAATTTTCGGACCTTTCCTTTAATTTTCATTCTCTGCTTTAACCTTTTACTATAGTTCACACTCCGTGCCATAGGGCACTTTCCTTTTTTGTTCTAACTCCACCTTCTCGCGCAGCGCTGCCTTTATTCTTCTTTTAGACTCAAACTCTCTCACACAGTGGAGCTGGTCATGCGGGCTAGGCCCCATGACATCATCAGCCACTGACTTTATCAACTGTACAGTACATAAGTACAAACACTCTGTATTAGTATATATACCCCAATAGATCCAGGAGACTCCTCAGCGAGTCCTCCTATTGTATACCAACAAACTCTCTGCAGCCTAAGGGGTAACCACTCCCCATTCACTACCCTTATAGTGTGTTCTTGTGTGCACCAGAGTAACTAACTCTTGGTTGTTACACATTGCCGGTGCATACTTTTTGTTCCCCTAGAAAACCTTGAGCACCAGATGCCTTGCGATTGTAAGTCCACTTGAGGTATGCATCTGTAATTGCAGTCAGCTGATGATTAAAGGCAGAAACCCGGCACATGATATGGTCTCTACCATCTTGATGATCTGGTCGACGTGATTTATGGCGATAGTAGCTGACAATTCATGAGAAGACAAAGAAAATATTGGGTTAAGATAATGTACTCTTTCCACAAGTTGCCGTTGAGTTCCCTCGTGAGTGCTTCAAATTCTCCACCCGCATGACTGATGTTCAATGGCTCTGAACCATCAAGCACATCATTGAGGGTCGCAATGTTGTTGTATATATCTTTGTCATCAGGAAAAACCCTTTTGCTATATAGCGCTATATAGCCACCACCTATATATATAAATGCACTCATAGAAACTATAGTACTATTAGTGCAATCATAGCTCTTATAGCTTTTATAGCACAGTAGTAGGCAAAATTTTTAACCAAGGGGAGAAGTGTCTATAATTCCCTCAAACTCTGGATTAATCTAATAAATTTGTTCAATAATAGAAAGAGGCCAAAAGTATTTGGAGTCAAGTATATTATTATAGGCAAGGTACTATAAGTGCTCTTATAGCCTACATAGCTCCTATAGCTGTAAAAGTCATAGTTATAATATAGTTGAAGCTGCTTAAAAGGGCTAATAAATCATACAGTATTAATTAATTATGTAGCCTGTATTAGTGAAATAGTAGTTTGTATCTTTGATATTTATACAAATGAGAATAATGATTTATCCAAATATAAGTGGTGACAATGAGTAACAAAATAACCTAAGTCCATGAAAGGTCAATGTATGACACCTGTATAATATATTTTAAAAGCTCTCATGGTGTAGTGGATAAATGTGTGATGTGTGGCTCTAAGTTGCTTAGTCACCCACAAGCTGACTAGGTGAGAGTTCAAATCCTGCCTGAGTTAATTTTTTCTATCAGCCACACAACAATTTCCAACATCTATAAGAGCATTTATAGAGCTATATGAGGCTCTATAGATGGCAGAGGTTCTATAGCAGGTTTGACCGCTATAACAGCTTTATGAGCACTTATAGTGCTATAGAGCTCTATATAGCTACCCCCATTTTTCTTGATGGTCGTCACTGACTGGTGCGTTGGGGAGGTCTCTCAGTGCCTCCAAAGCACATCAGACGTCAGACATCATTTCTTGTTCACGTAAGGGTTGCTATATTTTTAGGTGCGTCAGTCACTCACCTTGCATGTGAACCCTGTGACTTTCATATGACTCTAAGGCTCTTTTTGTAAGTGCCTTTGGACCCAAAACCCCATGCACAGGCTTTGTTGGCATGCTATTCTTGTCTCGAGTCCGCCCCACACGTCTGACTTTCCCACTCAACAAGCCGGTACAATTTTGAGGGCGTTTTGCATTTACACCAACCATGGGTGCAACTTGGATGATGATGTATTGATGTTCTGCATAGTGGACTTGGTATTCAGTACCCACCGGTACTCAGCGGCAGGTCTCAGGACACGTCCGTGACAGTGCGTGACACAGGTATGTGATTGATAGCCACATCATTATTCACTCTATCTCCTGCCATGACTTGCACGCACCAATCACCTACAGCCAATTCTAGTGCCATTCCTCCGACCTCTTTGTTTTCACCTGGAAAACCACGCCATGACAATCGCTCAGGTAGGTAACATCAGTAGATGATTCTTTGCTCGAGTTATTGATTCTACCCACAGCGCAATGCCTGCCTTTCACAGAGACAGTCACAAGCACCCATACCACTACAACCACAACCACAACCACAACCACAACAATCACAGATGCTATCTCTGTGACAACCACCCCAAGAAAGTCTCCCCAGCTGGCCGTGGCAGGTCCTTATGACTTGGAGAGTCCACAATTACCACCCACCATCAAAAACAAGCCGCCTGCCCAACCTCCTGTCAGTCCAATGACATTGTTCAAATCAAACATTCCTCGCCCCGACCACATTTGACTTCCTGCAAAAGGCGTCACTCCAGAGGGTTGCTATGTTGTCTGGGTTGGTCAAGAAGTGGGGATCTTCTACACCTGGTGAGTTCGGCCTTCCATTCTGTTCAATTCTACTAAATAAAATTAGGGATGATACTGCTGAGAGGGTACTAGGTGTTAGCGGTAATAGGTATAAGAAATACAACAACTTTGATGAGGCTCTCAGGAAATATAGAAGTAAGTATGAGTTGGGTGCCGTTCGAGCGGTCCCAATCCCTGGTGGTTGGTTCTGGTTGGAGGACCTCCATTCCTATGATAATGACCCATACTCTGCTCTCACAGAACGTTCATGGGATGTGCTTGGGGCGTTAACTGATCAATTCAGCCATGTCTTATGATTATATGTGATTTCTTTCATATTTACTCAATCAAAGCGCAGTTGACAACTCTACCCACTCTTGTGACAGATTTACGATAGTCTTTTGTATGATACATCCCATGCTAATGTAGTTCTGCAATCGTAGTTAATCGTCTGAAGCGCACATGAACCTCACACAAGTACTAACACTACAATAAATACATTTTGAGGAGAGATACATTAAATACATCTGTTTCACAAGGATACAAGGAGGAAAGTGTGGTCTAAACTATCTGGTATGCCAAACCACATCATTGAAAGTTGCGCAAAATGTGCAAAACTGAGACTATGTTCACTATAAATCCAGGGCAGCAATATCTCTCCACCATAAATCATCTTGGGCACATCCACTTGTCTCAATGATATGATCACCACCTCACTCTTGAATTTTTGAACAGGGCCTACTGGTTTATGTTGAAGCTGACACAATTCTTCATGATATAGCAAACACATTTGCTATACATTATAGGTGTTCTCTATTATAAATCATGCATAATGCATGGTTTGGGACAGATTAATCCACCAAGTTGAATCTCAGCCGCCACGATTGCAGCCTTGCTTTCTACAGGAGAGAGACACAATGCCTTCATCATTGGAAATCCCTTGCTCAATCTGCGGAAGCTCATGGTCGTCGAAAACAAAAAGGATTAGCAACGCCAGGCTATAGAGCGATGGTTATCTAAACCTCAGTAAGCCTGCTCCTTTTAAAGTCCATATTGTGCTGATTTTGGGTCGCCTGTTTCTTATTGTTTCTTACCAGCATCCTCAAGGCACAGAGAGAGAAGGCACGTCTTCATTCTGCTAGGTGAGAAATAAATCAAGGACAAAGGATGTGCCAGAGGGCCTTACAATGTCTGACTGACCAACTTTGCCAGAAATTGTCATAAGTACGCCATTTGCTTTTATTACGAGGTTAATATGTGCTAAGTAGTCTACAGGAAGAAAGCAGAGAAGGAAGTCATCATTAATCAACTGCCAGCTTCAGCATCTCAAAACCAGCCAACATCTTCTATCGAAGTTCTCAATGATAATATTGACTCCACAGAATCTGAATGCTCAACAAACACAGTTAATATCTCTTCATTGCGTTGTGCTGTGGTTGCATGGCAGGTAGACTGGGGACCTGAAGGTTCATGGGGTAGGATGTTTGATAAAGAGTTGGGGAAAGTGAGAGAGAGAGGGCGCTGGGAGGTCGACAAGTTTTTTGAAAATTGGGACAAGCATGTGCAGGATGGGAGGACCTATTGAAGGAGATAAAGAGAAATTTGCTCACCTGGCCATGCAAGGGAACATGCGACAACATCAGAGATATGGCTCTTCAAATATATGCACTGGTGTTGATGGTCACAGTGGAAGTTAATTTTTTTGAAGTTAAACTTGACGAGGATGCGCCAGCGGTCCCTCTCACAAAAATGTCGGAAGTTTGTTATCACTTGGGTCTGTAAATATTAGTATGCAATGAGAGATACACCGAGACTACCAGAGTGCAAAGTGATTGCTCCTTGTCAGTGACCCGACCACGCCAGTGGGCGCTCATCTCACGCCTCAGGATGTGTACTTGATGCAATGACAATGGCCCAGGTGGTGGTTGGTTCTCGCTCATTGGTATCTCCAGCATCAAAGTAGGAGGGTCTTCTCAAGGTACTGGTATACCAGTATGGTATGTTGTTGTTTTATGTCTGTGTGCTGGATGTGTGCTGATTTTCCTTGTGGTTGTTTCTTCTACTTAGTTTGTTACAATGGCGTGACAATGCCAGACATGCCAGAAAAATGAGGATGAATATCTTCAATGTGGTGTTCGCACCTTTTTCCGTCATACAAGGTGAAAATTACAGGTTTGTACACTTATCACAAAGGACTTTTGGAAGCATGCAGGGAAGGGAGGTCAGTTTTTCAAGCCAAGAGCGTTGTACTGCTGATTTTCTACTACAAGTACTGCCAGTACACGTGACCTCGGAAAATCTCAGCCGAAGAGTCTGTAATTTGAGGGAGATGAAGCATGTGGTCTTAACCATCCTCCTAGCATTGTCCTGCAAGTCCCTGCATGAAGTTCATGTGGGACGGTGTATTAATGATCCCGTCAATTTGGACAGCTCCGTTTCTACGTTTTGAAGGTCTCAACAATGCTTTTGCTCACAGAATCTTCATTGTAACAACCAAGAGTTAGTTACTCTGGCGCACACAAAACACACTATAGAGAAGATGAAGATGGGGAGTGGTTACCCCTTGGCTGCAGTGAGTTAGTTGGTATACAACAGGAGGACTCGCTGAGTAGTCTCCTGGATCTATTGGGGTATATATACTACTACAGGTTTGTTTGTACATATGTACTATACAGTTGATAGAGGCAGTGGCTGATGATGTCATAGGGCCTAGCCTGTATGGCCAGCTCCACTGCGTGAGAGAGTTGAATCTAAAATAAGAGAAAAGGCAATGCGGCGCGAGAAAGAGGAGTTTGAACACAAAGGGGGAAATGCCGCGTGGCACCATGTGTGAAAGCTAAAGTACAAGGTTAAAGCGGAGAATGAAAAGAAAGAAAATGTCCGGAAATTGTGTTGTCGTAACATCATTACTCATGTCAGATTTTACATACGGAATCTTGTCCAATACAACTGTTCCCTCCAGCAGGGAACCCACTATCATGGGCTCACAACTGGTTTCTTTCCACAGTAATATATCCAATGCCTTAGTATCATATCACCGAGTTCCTGGACAGCAAGAACTTTGCCCACCAGCTTTCTTCAATTTGGACGAAGTTTTTCCCCCTGTCAGTAATGCTAGAGGCACGTCAACGCCTCTGTCGCCAACATGACCAGATGTTAACTACCTCACCCTTGACGGTGCGGGGTATCAATTAATTGACGACAATATCCTTCACAATATTGCAAATGACTTTGGGATAGATTCGCTCACCACATTGCTCGACCCGCCTGTTTTGAATGGGCAAGTAACGCCCCTGGTGCCACAGCAAACCACACTCCCAGGGAACCCACCAGTCACACAATTGGAGGGCAGCGCAAAATCCCACTTGACCCATTAATTTAACTCAAGCACCCCCTCGTCAACTTACAGAAGCCGAAAACGCTACATAAAATCTGGCTGCTGATCAGAGGAAACTGCACAGGGACCAAATCAATGAGGACATCAGAAAATATATACAGAGTTGGAACGAACAACTAGAGTTGCTTGCTGAAAAGCATAACATGACAATAGAATGCACAAAAGCCCTCACAGGATCGCAGGCTACATTCAAGAAACCCCAGGCTCCAAATATGTACAATGCCATAGTGCATGCCAAGTCGCTAGAGGTTAATGCTGGTAAGTAAATATTTTCACAAACTGAAGCTTGTGTATGGCTGATAAGTCGACAGACCTTCCTGTTGGCGAGAAGAAGCGCCTCCAAGAAATTCAGTCTTTAGCAAAAGTCAAACAGGGACCAGAGGGGTTGTGCAAGGACAAGCAGGAGGAGATGCGCAATCTCCTCCTCGAACATTGTGAGATAAAGAGCTCTGGTGTTTGCTTCAACAATGCCGCTGCTGCTCATGATCTTATGTGCACATCAGACAGGATTGGAAGAGAGGTCTGTTTCCCATTGTCATCATCTTAATATACTGACTTACTTGTATACCTTAGCTTGATAATCTGGCACTCCGTACAGGCTCATACGGGTGTTTTTTCCTCACGCAAGGACACATTAACAACTTAGGAGCAGCCACTTGGTATGGGAGTGACAACTCCCTCAATTTTTGGGAAGATGTAATTGGTAGGGATCCAGACGAAATTGCCCAGTTATTTGAGCAGTGGGGATGTTCTAGAAACCAAAGTCAGTGCTCATCACACCACCAGGATCCATTTGCTAACATTTCCTTGTAGATACAGCAGAGCAAAACAACCTTCAAAACTGTTGTTGTCAGTGTGCAAGGGCCTGCAAGATTGGCCTTCGTATGTTCCACCTCTCTCACCTTACAATAATACAATAAGCTAATCTATTACTTGACCATAGGCAAGGTTCTGGGCTGAACAACTAAGATGGACTACAAGAAATATGAGACTGCCATTGTCTCCTTGCACGGTGTGAAAATTGTCGGCTGGCCCACAAACATACCTTTTGTCAATCCATCTGCTATTGGGATAGTCACAGAAATCTGGCAGCTTCGTGACGCATGGAGAAACGGTACTTGTCATTGGATCAAGTTAACACAATCCCAGTTGAAAGCCTACAGGACTGAACTTGAAGCACGGCAGAATGCAGGCGAGGTGACTCGGAAGAAGAGGAAAAAAACGATCAGATGCAGGTTTACCCAGAAAGCATTGACAGACCACCCAGAACAAGAACAAGGAGAACAAAACACGCACCATGAACAGGAGGACAGCCATTCGGAGAGCACCCATAAGTGCAGAGACAATTGAGTCATCCTCGGAAGACTTGGGAGACAATGAGTAGATGTAAGTCCCATATTGCACTATTAAACACACTGCCTTTGCTAAATAGATAATGTTCCCCTTGTCAGTGCTTTGTTATATGCCCAGATGTTATGTCTTATGTGTCTTTCCCCTCAAAATTTAGTATCCGTGTATGTTTGATGCTGAGATTGTGTTGTTTTTCCATGCGTTTGTCTATGGACACAGGATTGATGTGGTTATGGCCCTAGAAATATGTATATATGAAGATTTCCCTCATTCCCAAAGCTCAAAATTGAAGAAACAGGCTCAATACACAAGCTCGCTGTGCTGAACAGTGACCTTGCATGATATACAAGCAACACGACTTGTTGATCATCACGTGCCGGTAACCGAGTGTCACCAAACATGGCCAAACGGGAACGCACACCGTGCGGGGGGAAGCTGCAGAACTGTATAGCTGCTACCATATTTGGAGGGGCACAGACTGCAAATGAGTGGTGTTGCCGAACACGTTGTCTCTCAGCAGGAGAGGCCAAAAAAACTATATAGTTCTTGCCTAACTGGGAGAAACGCGGACTTCCAATAGACAGCAATGGCTCTGATGACTAACCGGGTGTAGTTGCCGGTTCAGGTGACTCTTTTTTCAACTCCAAAGTTGCTAATTAATGAAGAAACAATAAAAGAGGCCCAAGAATAGCTTTAAACCATCTAATTGGAGGTGCATCAAGGCAGTAATTATTGTTCTAGTTAGATATATTACGTGGGAATCACAGGTGACCATAAGTGCACCATTCAGTACCAAGTCACAAGCCGGCCATTTCAGGTTATCGATCGAGTTGTAGACTATGTCCTAGTGTAAATATCCTGACATGACAAACACAAAAATAGCAAACCATCGAAAACTGTTTAGCAATTGACAATCCAGTACCACTCATACTATCAATATAATCAACATAAAATTGACATTCTTATTCATGTAAACGGTATCATAAACTACATCTGGTATCAAAATTCATTATATCAACATTCTTTGAAGGCACTTCTGCATCCTAGAAACCTCCCCAAATAAAAAATCATCTTCTTCATCGTCACCGTTATCTAATTCTTGAGAATTGATGGTATTGTTGTGCTGTGCAGAGTTATTGTCTTTGATATCTCCAGAAAAGCCTTTGAGATTATAAATCTGCTGTAGATGACGGCAGTGAACATTGTTAACACGCCGATGAGTGAGATACTTGGCATTAATTTCCAATGCAATGTACTCATCACCTGCAGTACCCTCAGCCATAACAAGCAGATGTGCATCCTTGGCGTTAACCCACTCATGCAGCCTCCTTATTTCAACATAAAGATGTTTGATTTCCTCTTGCGCACAAATAACCTTGAAATATTTCACTGCCAGTTCACGATTTGATGGCACAGCCCATGGTTTCTTTAGAATGTCATGACGTGAACATTTCAATAGTTCAAATTTGCCCAACCAAGTATATGACACCACCTGGGAATACTCTAGGACAGGTGCTGGGTTTTTTTGCTCAGCTGCAAGCTTGTTGTACCTGTCTGACGCAGTCCGAATGGCAAAAGACCATTGACTGATAGCTTTAGAGATATGCTGTCGTAACTTGTAACCTGCTCAGGTAATGAGGTGAACAAGTGAATTAATATTGTTTACTGACTTACCTGTGCCTGCTAGGTTTGCCTTCAACAATTCAAACAAATGCTGGACAACAAGCGCTTCGAGACTTTCTACGGCACAGATGAACTTTCAATTGTTAAGATACTCCAGCGCCTCACAATATTCAGCGCTATCAGATTTCCAACGCTCATATATTTCCATCCATTTTTCAATGTCAGCAACCACATTCATTTACAAATTCAAACAACAAACTGCTTCCACTCGAGCCGCCTCCTTGGCACGAGAAGCTGAAAGCCAATATTTTTGCTCCTTTGCGCTAGACACAAAGCCTGAAGGGACGTAGTTTTCAAACTGTACAGTTGTCATAACCCCATAACTTTCCCTATACAGTAATGCATCAGTCATAATAGGAACAAGAATGCATCAACAATGCTCACTCAAGCTGGGTGAGTTTTTCGAGTGCACCAACGTAAACCAACACCATTACCTCATAATCAGATTCCTGAGTAAGTCTTGTGAGATATCTGGACCATACTCCTGAAGAATGACTAACACTTGTTTATAGTTGTTCAAAAGAAAGTTACCTGCGGTGAATCAATATTGTGACATTCAGTAAATAAATTGATATGAATTGATACATACTAAGTTCTTGATATTTATCTTGATCCCACTGATTGAAATATAGGTTGAGGTATTGGAGCCAATGGAAATGTGAAGCATGTTGTATGACATGAGCTGTACCATTTGAGGACGAGAAAATCTGTTCGCACATCTCCATGTCTTCCAAACCAAAGCCTTTGAGATAGAGGGGGTGCTTAGTTAGTTGGCAGGTGCAATTGTGAGCATGGCCATGGAAAGAGTTGACAGCCATCATCAAGTTCTTCGATTCCGCTTGATTACTCAGGGAACTATGTGAGATTGTTTTTGCGAACAAGCAACCAATGTTGTAACCAATTGCCTGGTCGGAGCCAAATATGTCTGGACCATATAAGCACCTACAGTTCTCCACTGCGTCACATTTCCACTAGTGTCTCAACAGTACCATGACGGCAAGCCGGTATGAATATGCCTGCTTGTTCAAATATTTTGATGGTATGATCATCAACTGTATTGGCTACAGTCCAATTATCTGTGCAAATTTCTGGTGGCTCTTCACCTCTTGATGTCCGAACAGCATTGTCTGTCTGCATAGACAAATGATCCTGAACACTAGGTCAATTATGCACTTCATTCTGGAAAATATTAATGTCTTCATTGCTTATAAGGCAGGGACTTTGGAATATGCGTTCATCTGCAGAACCAGCACCATCACTTGGCAAAACAATGTGGCACATCGTTTTGCCGAGTTGTTACTGTCTATGCCGTGAATTTGTGCAGGGACTACTGGAGGATCATCTGGCCACTGTAACATAATGTAAGATACTACAAAGCCCAGACAATAGAGAAGCACCTTGTAACCACAGGCCGGGCACGCAAAACAAATATGCCAGTCAGGACAATCCCTACCAAGTAGCTTGTTAACCTTAGCCTGAACTCTTTGCAGTATTTCTAAATATATGTCAAATGCAATTGATAACTGATCTCAAAATGTTTAGACATACGTAACCTGGAAACAGTGTTATAAGCTAAAACAGTCACATGAGAAAGTATGAGTGGGATTACATTGTTGAGCGCACATAGAACTTTTGCCATTGCCTGGGTGCTGAAGGAGTATTGATGCTGTTTTATCTGATGATAAATCTCAAGTGATTCCAGGGATATAGCAACAGAGGGCTGTATAGGAGAACATCCGAGCAATTCTACATGGATTAAAGAGACGTTAGCTGCTTCATTAGCTCCCTGAGAAACAGGTAGTTTGTCCACATAGCCTTGGAAGCATTAGCACGCTTGTATGTCTAACAATGGGACACTTAACTTGTCATGTTGACTGCTGCAACCTCAAATTTGCGAGTTGATTGCATGTCTTCAGTCGGACATTAATTGTACTTCCAACATAGATAAGCTTCGACAAGATCAGAAAGTTGATTCTGCCAGTGTTCATGCATATGATGATGTCGTTGTATGCGTGTACAATAATTACCACGTCTACATCCGAAAGAAGAACCACACATACTAAATTACTGTAAGCTGCTAGACAACAACAGACATTAATCAAACGACCTTGTAATTATGCTTGCTCGAACACGTTCTACTGGGTCAAACTTGTATTGACCGTCTAGCCCACATTCATCTTGAGAATCATGGTCATATTCTTGCTCTTCTGTAGGATTGTCAGTATAGCAGTTATACAAATCATACATACCATGCTCCTCGAGTGTCTCAGCAGGAACACCAATATTTTGCGCAATTTCTGAGAGCATTTCGTGATAAGGTTGATTTCTACCTAGAATATGCTAAACTGTGCACTGACTAGCCGGGGATAAAAGGCTTACTTACTTTTGAGCTCCTCTCAACGGCGGCATTCAAATTCAACTTGGTCTTGATGAATCTTTGTGAGGGTCGACCGAGTAACATGCCGCAGCCCACTGTCACGCAAGCTTGTTGTATGGACATAAGAAGAGGTGAGAAAAGAAAACTTCTTGCGGCCCATAAATGCTCTGAATAACCAAGGATTGAGGCGCTGATATGTTGATGTGATTGGAGTAAGGATGAGTTCACAGCAAACACGAGAAAAGGACTATGCAGACGGTGTTGAGACAACAATGATGGGGATTGTTACGATAACACAATTTTTGGACCTTTCCGTTATTTTCATTCTCCACTTTAAACTTGTACTTTAGCTTTCACACATGGTGCCACGCGGCATTTCCCCTTTTGTTCAAACTCCTCTTTCTCGTGCCGCGTTGCCTTTTCTCTTATTTTAGACTCAACTCTCTTACACAATGGAGCTGGCCATGCGGGCTAGGCCCCATGACATCATCAGCCACTGTCTCTAGCAACTGTATAGTACACATGTACAAACAACCCTGTAGTAGTATATAAACCCCAATAGATCCAGGAGACTCCTCAGCGAGTCCTCCTGTTGTATACCAACTAACTCACTGCAGCTCAAGGGGTAACCACTCCCGTCATCATTATCTCTATAGTGTGTTTCTGTGTGCGCCGGAGTAAATAACTCTTGGTTGTTACAG